CGGAGGCGGGGGCGGGGACGGGGGGGAGGAGGGGGACAGGGAGACACATGGGGGCGCAGGGGCGCACGGGGTGGGGGGCAGGACAGAGGAGGGGCGGCGGGGACAGTGCGGCCCCGGGGGAGAGGAGGCAGGAGGAGAGCTGGAGACGAGGGCGCAGGGGAGGGAGAGCCGGACCCAGAAATCCAGAGGGGCGGCTAGGACGCCAGAGATGCAGGGAGAGAGAGAGTCTAACGAGAGAGAGAAACAGGGGAGAGGGAGACACAGAGAGAAACAGACCGACTCGATGAAAACAGAACTCCGCCATGGCGGCTCCTTGGCACGGGCTGCGACCCTCTCCCTGGTACCGGGAAGGGGTCCTTAGCTCCGACTGCGCCCGCGGCGACCCTGAGCGGGGGGCGGAGCTGGGGTGGGATGGAGGTTCTGGGAAGCGGACGGAGGTGCCGGGCTGTGTTACCGGAGGGACCCCGGCCGGCGGGAAGGGGCAGCGGGTGGGGCCCGGAGGCCGCCCCCCTCCCCGTCCCCGTCTCTGAGCCCCCGTCGGCCCCAGGAGGTCCCAGTGCCCGGCTCTCTGGGGCCCCAGTCCCTGTCAGCCAGACCAAGGTGGAAGCCAGCCTCCCCGCGCCTGTCTGTGCTGTCACCTTGGGCACGCTACCCCAGAGCTGGGCTCCCACTAACTGTGTGGTCAGGGCTTTCCCACGGGACAGCGGGGAGGGCGGCTGCAGCCCTTCTGCAGACGGGGGAGCCCGGCCTCAGAGAGGGGAAGTGACTTGCTGGGAGGTCACCCAGCCGGTAGGCTGCAGAGCTGGACGCAACCCTGCTCTGATGCCATAGCCCACGCCTGTCTCTGCAGGGGCCGCCTGAGTCTGTCGGTGTCCTGGACTCCTCTCCCAGAACGCAGAACTGAGTCCCGCCTCACAGCTCCCGGCCGGAGGCGCCCCCCACCCCGCACAGATTTAATCCTCCCCCTCTCCAGGACAGGCTGTTCCTGCCTCTTGAAAAACTCCATTCCCACCTCTCTCCCCACCTTACACCCTCTCCCTCCATAAAACCCCCTCGACTTCTCCATTTTGGTGGATGGCAGGCCCCCAACTTCAATCTTTCTTGATCCCTCTCTTTCCTTCACAACCACATCCAGTCTCAGCAAACCCTGTGGGCGCCACCTACAAAATCTATCCAGACTCTAAAGTCTTCTCCCCCACTGCCCCCAACCAGTTCCAGCATCCTTCCTTTGCCTCCATCACAGCAGCCTCCTCTTTGGTCTCCCTGCTCCTGCCCCCATCCCCTGCAGTCCGCTCCCCATCGCAGCCAGAAGGAGCCTGTGAACCCTAGTCAGGTCAGGGCCCTCCGGGCTCAGAGCCTCCCCTGGCTGCACCTCATTCCTGGTAAAAGCCAAGTTCTCAGCTTGGTGCCCAGGGCACCACTCTGACCTCTCCTGTCAGACTCCCCCTTGCTCACTCCCTCCAGCCACCGGCCTCACTGCTATCCCTCTAACTCACCCAGGTACATTACTGCCCCAGGGCCTTTGCACTTGCTGTTACCTCTGCATGGAAGCTCTTCCCCCAGTTCTTCACCTGACTGCCTCTCTCCCAGAGCTCAAAGAGGCCTCCTTCCACTCTCTTTATGTCTCACTGCTCTCTTTCTTTATATTTCTCTTCGCCTGTTTCTTCTTTTAAAATACTTTTGAATTTTTAATTAGGGGATATTTCTTTCAAACAGTAAAAAATATAACAGTCATCTGTGTCCCCACCACCCATGTATAACAGATGTGAACATTTTTGCTTCAGATCCTTTTTCTGTTTTTGTTTTTAAAGAAATAAACTAACACAGTTTCAGCCAACTCCCCATCCCTCCTTTCCCTGCCTCTGCCCCCCGAGGTACCCACGGCCCTGAAGTTGGTGTGTGTTCTTCCTGTGCACTCTTCTATCCTTTTTCTACGTAAGAATGCACCTACCAACAATATATCCTATTGTCCAATCTCTTTTAAAAGGATACACAATTAGGCTCCTACTGTATCATTTTGCAACCCGCTTTCTCCATCGTCACTGTTTCCGCGATTTCTCCGCATTGATATTCAGAGCTTTATTTTGTAAACTTATCAGGATCATTGTTGGAAGAAACCACAATGGATATTTCTATTCAGGGCCAACGTGGTTCTTTCCTCTTGCTCCCTGTAACCTTGAACCTCCCAGTTCCTGTCTTCTTGTGCCAGAGGCAGTGTTTCTTTGCAGAAGTTTTTTTTGTTGTTTTTGCTGCCTGTGAGCTGCAGCAGGAAATACCTTTCACATCGGCTTCCGGCACACTTAGAAATACGTGTAGCCTCACAAAAGTTGCAGGAAACCACACTTATTCGCTATGCCTCAGACACTGTGTTATTTTCAATTCTGTCCTAGTGTTGTTTGAAAAAAAGTGCTGATTGCAATGCTCGAGGTTAGTTTCTTGGCCCTTAAAGGGGTCACGACCCGCTGTTTGAAAAACACAGGCTGGGTGGAGGGGTGTCCGCCTCCAGGCTCCGTGGGCCATGCTCAGCTGAGCTCAGAGTAGGTTGGCCTCACGCAGACTCCTAGTTGCCTGTTTTTGTTTGTGCATCTATTTCTCAACTTCCAGTCCTGCCCCTGTGGGGCTGAGGCCACATTCTAACTGACCTTCAGCCCCCGACCTGGACAGTGACAGCCACAAGGAACCCACCCTGGACCATGGGTCGCCAGCGAGAGAGAACCCCTTTCCCAATGCACCGCCCGGGTCTGACCTGTCCTGGGGCACACTCTCCAGGTCTGGGGTCCTCAGCAGCTGCAGGCGCCGGGGGGTCGGGGTTCCAGGGGGTGACTCCCCATCACTAGATGGCGTTATCAGGATGGAGGGCACCTCCAGGAGCCTCCAGGGCTCAGGGGCCAGGCCCTTGACACTGCCACCCTGTGGCTGCTGGCTCTGCCACTCGGCTGGGGGGACAGGTGAGTCCTGGGCACTGCCCTCGGTCAGCGGGGGCGCCCACGGCAGCAGGGGCAGGAGCTCAGCCATGGGGAGGGTCTGCCTCCCTGGCTGGGGTCCTTGGACAGCAGCGAGGTCTCTAGGGGAGAAAAAAGAGAGGTGAGGGGGAGAGCCCCTGTCCATGACCTGCCCCTCACCCCCTCCCCCTGCTGCTCCACCAAGAAGAGAGAGGAGCTGAGGTTCAGAGCACGGTGTGCGGGTCAGAGAGGTCTGGGTGGGATTCCCACCTCTGCCAACGTCCTCCCTCATGACCCTGAGCCTCAGTTTCCTCTTCTGGACACGGGAGATCCTGATGCTGACATCCTGGGGCGGCAGGGCGGTGTCAGAGAACTCTGACATGTGGAGCACCGAGGCTGGGGCCCAGCACTCAGTGGGTGGTCAGTGAACATCTGCTCAAGCCCCTGGGCTGGGGTTTATTTCTTCTGGGTTTTCTATACGCCACCACCCCAGCTCCCTTCCACACCACTGCCAGGAAGGGACCAGGCCTGTGTGGGCCCCAGAGGTCTCTGGCCTGGGTAACAGCGGATCAAGCGGAAAAGAGAGGCAGAATCCAGAATTCCCCCTCCCTGTTTGCTCGGCAGTTGCCCCTCCCAGGACAAACAAAAGGGGGTGGCTGGGCGGCCTGCTCAGCTGAGAGGGAGCCAGGCAGGTTCCTGCTGCTGCCGCCTGATACTGGAGGCCATCCGGGTCTGGGGAGATCAGATCAGTGTCTGTCTGTCTGCACAGCAGAACACGACAAGGGCTTCTCGGCGCCCCGCTGCGGGGCAATAGGGAAGGAGGGCCTGTGGGACCCAGTGAGGGTTTCCCCTGGTTTGGGGAAGACCCTGACCCTTACAGGCCAGGCCTGGACCCCAATACCCCTACCTTATGGCTCCCTCCTCCTTCTGTCCTCACGGAGTCTGGACGTCCAGCGTCAGGGCTGGAGAGCAGGCCCTTCCCTCCCCCCAGGAGGCCTGGCTGCACCCAGGGGTCACGACCTTGCCAGCAGGAATAGCATGTCCATGTCCGCTGGAGTCGCGTTCCCCTCTGGCCAGCTGTTCCTGGGAGAGGACAGGGTGGGGGTGGGGGCTGAGGTCTGAGCCTCGTCCTTCCCTCTTGACTGCCCTGTTGAGGAAGGGGCTGTCCTCACCTAGGCCCCCACTGGCCACGGCTCCTGCTGGCCGGCAGCCAGCCACACGTAGCTTCGGTCCCCTCTGCTCCCCCAGAACTGCTCCTCTGAGCCCAGAGGTCACCCCTGGTGGCCAAGTCCGAGGCACGTTTCAGTCCTCATCTGCCCCCTTTGTTCTTAGAAGCCTGATGCTGGGAGACCCCTCTTTATTCAGGAAGGTTCTCTCAGCCTCTGAGATGCCCCAGTCTCTGGCTCTCCTGCCACTCACTGACAGCACCATCTCGCTTTTGTGCCCAGCGCCATCTCCTCTAGTGATCTGTAGAAGCTGGTATTCCCTATGGCTTAGGTCCTGTCACTTTTCTCTTATTTTTCCGTGTTTACTACATAATAATTGACACATACTAAAGGATGTCTGTATCGTAGATGTGAATTACAAAGTATACCAATAAAATGAACCCGTAACCCCAACACACAACTTAGTTTGAGAACCAGCACATCACTGGTAAGTGCCCCATGACTGCCTTAGGCCCCCCCCATCCTACCCCTTCCTCCTTTCCAGAAGTTTCCATCACCACCATTTGTCAGTTATCATTCTCTCACATTTTAATAGTTTTTTGTAATCGCATTGGTATGTATCCCTAAACAACATATTTTTTAGTTGTACTTGCTTTTGAGCTTTACAGAATGGAATTATACCGTGTGTCATGCTGTATGAGTTGCTTTTTCTACTCAACATTGTTTCTGAGATTCCTCCATAGGGCACAGGTGGTTACACTCCATCAGTTTTTGCTGCTGTACAATATTCCATTGTGGGAATATACCACAATTTGTCTGTCCATTTGCCCCGGGGTTGTTTCCCGTTCTCTGCTCCGATGAACGGAGCTGCCCTGAATGTTCTTGGGTGTGCTTCTCAGGTAAATCCTGGGGTGACTGGCGTCCCACTGATGCCGGCCACCCACCTGTGCCTCACCTGCGCTGGTCTGCCTCTCAGTGCTCAGCTTGGTTCCATGGGTCCGTCTTGTCCTGGGTCTATAGGATTCTGCCTCAATTTCTTCAGCCTTCAAGTAAGTCTTGATATCTGGTGAGGCAAGTCTTCCTGTCTTGTTCCTCTTCCACCAGAGCCAGCTTGTCAAGCTCCCAGGGGGAAAAGTCAACAATGGGAATTGAATTGTTATGCTGTAACCAACAATCAATATCTTTAGGATCTTGAGTTTTCCAAAATGTCCACAGCGGGTCACTCTCCATTTACTTGGGTATGTTTTAACATCACTCTCTGTGTGTTTAGGTATTTTTTAATGTTGTGGTAAAATACACATAACATACAAGTTACCATCGTATCCATGTTTAAGTGTACAGTGCAGTCGTGTTAAGTACATTCACACTGTTGTGCAACCATCACCACCAGGTCCTTTTGAAAAATAAAGTTTCTTGAAAAGTTTTTTCCTATCTTTTGTTGGATTTTCTCCTTTGGTATTTCACGTTTTTAAAAAACCTTTTTGTGACAGATAATATATACAGGAAAGAGAGTAAAATATAAATGTACAGCTTAACATAGAAAGGAAACACCCATGGGCCACCACCCAGGTCGGTCAAGGAAAAGCACGTTGCTGGCACACCAGAGGCCCCAAGTGCCTCCTCTGCAAACCCTCCTCCCCTCCAAAGACAAGAGCAGCCTGGCTTCCGTGGTCATCCCTTCTTTGCTTTTCTTTAGAGTTTTACTACTTGAGTGCGTATTCCCCAACATCCTAGTTTAGTTTTGCCTGTTTCTGAACTTCATATAAATAGAATAACACACTTTGATTCTTTCGTATTTGGCCTTTTCCATTTAACATGATGTCTGTGAATCATCCACTTTATTGTGTGTAACTGAAATCTGTTTATTTTTAATATCGTATAGTATCCCACTGATGAAATGAATTGTAGATGAATACCACTATTTACTTATCGATTATGTGGATGGACATTTGACGGCTTCCCAGTTTGAACTGTTAAAAATAGTGTTGCTGTGAACATTCTTTTACATGTCTCCTTGTGTTCCTCTCTGTCGCACATCAAGTATCCATCCATCCATCCATCCATCCATCTCTCCGTCTTTCCATCCCTCCATCTATCCATCCCTCCATCTATCCATCCATCCATGGGTGTTTCAGAGCTTCATTGGTCTATTTGTCTACTCTTGTGCAAAACCACACTATCCTAATTATATATACCTAATTTATATATATATGGGTTTACAATTAGTCTTGATATCTGGGATGGAAAGTCCTCCCACCTTGCTCTTCTTTAAGACTCTCTTGGCATTTCATGTTAGAGGCTTTCCTCAAAGGTGCATGATCCTTG